AAATAATGTTACCCTTAATATAAGCTACATTATAGATTTATTTTGATATTAATTTGTTTTATTTGTACTCAGCCCTTTTTAGCGTCCCACTGCTGGGCACGGACCTCCTTTAATATGAGGGAGATCATGCCATAGTCCATCTGGCCAAGTGCGGGTTGGCGGACTTCACATGTCTTTCGAAATTTTGCTAGAATTTCTCAGACATGCAGGTTTCCTCACGATGTTTTCCTTCACCGTAAAGCAAGTGGTATCATATTAGAAATGATTCGCATATGAAAATATCAGAGGTGCGATACACGTGATTTGAACCCGCTTCACTCGGTTTCCAAAGCTAGCGCGTTACCACTGGGCTACCACTGCCTTGTTTTATTTATCGTGTAATAATTATTTACTTGTGAGCTCTAATTTATACTAGCTGCCCTGCGGTATAAAATCGATCATAATTCGTTAAAATTGCATGTTAAGGTTCTTTTGTTAAAGAGACATAATTCGTTGGCTTACTATTACAGGGCTCTATGTTAATTTTAATGAAGTTTAGTAATTTTTACATAGAACTTCGTTATTTTATTATCGTAAAAAACAACATAGAACTATGTAAAATTTAATAATTTGTAGTTATAGTGCCGATGTCCAGTGGTTTGTTTTTGCAAAACTCTAGCTAATGACACATAGAACCTTGTAGCATTAATAACTAAATAAGTACTAAAATTGTAACATAGGACCTTGTAAAAGTGAGCCAACGAATTGTAGCCTGTAATCGGCCTCAATAAATAGAGTATACAGTGTAAAATGCAAAACGAATTCTTGATTTTCACACGTAGTTCCAGAGATTAGTTTTTTATGGTATTCAGTGACAAACCAGCAGACAACCCACTTGATGGAAAGCGGTACCTGTCGCCCATAACCCTACGGTTCATGCACTTAGATTTTATGTTACAAAAATACAGAGCCGCAGTTGCGTTGTCACTGTGAGGACTGAAATGATATATATGCCTCTTGCCTGTAATTGCGCTGGCTACCTTATCCTTCAAACCGGAACACAACAATGTAATCATTGTTGCTTGGTGGGAGAAATAGATGGGGGGGTGGTATCCATCCAGTCGGACTCCTCAGGCTTGACAGAATCCTACCACCGGTAAAATTTGATTTATTAGTACGTCCACACTAACAAACTCTTCAGCCTTGTATATTAGTTTAATGTTTTATACTAATACATAATGTATGTTAAAAATCATATACTTTTATATATTAGAAGTAAATAAGATAAATTCAATTTTAGCTTTTTTTATTTCTATTTTTTTACTAGCTGACCCGACAGACGTTGTCCTGTCTACACGTCTTTAATTTGAAAATTTCAAACTTTTTTTAATAAGCTAAAACATTCTGGACCATTTTGATGAAAATTATTATTCAAATTGTGAATCTAAACTATTCTCAGATCCCCTTGAACACACACAAAAAATTTCATCAAAATCAGTCCAGTCGTTTGAGAGAAGTTCAGTGACATACACACTCACAGAAGAATTATATATATAAGATATGTAACAATTTGTATGTAACAATTAGAAGCGATAAAAATTAGTAAGTAAATAATAAAAATGTACATATTATGTCAATATGTTGAAGATTTTTCATAATAATTTATTAAACATTGAAGTAATGGATAATTAAATTATCACTAATCTAAGTAAATGCTACAATTTTAAAGTTTCCCAGTGGCTCTAGCGCGTAAGTGCCCAATTTATTATTAACGTGAGTACTGTAAAGCCATTTACCACTTCACAACAAGTAAATTATAACAATTATGTATAAAAAAGTAATTTTCCTAATGTTTTAAAATAATTTAATGTTTTTAAAGATAAATCTTTTTTTTTCTTTATCCTAATAAATCTATATCTTTATCTTAATGTCAATACAAATTTCAATATTATTATTAATATCTTGTGTCACGGTGTTTGTGATATCACTCCTCTGAAACGGCTCGACTGATTTTAATGAATCTTTTTTTTATATTTGGTAGGAATGAGACTAGGTTATAAAATATTTTTCACCCTCCTACCCCCACCCCCCATTTATATATAATAAAAATATTAAATTTTACTAATATACCTTTTGTATAAGGGTAATGTTGCCTCGCTCATTAGAAAAGGCTGGCTGATGAAAGCTCTAGGTCGTTACTGTTAGCCATTAAAATATGCTAGGCTTGAGAAATTGTAAGACGGCTATTAATAATGTAAACAACTTTAACATACGCGTGATGTAAAGTTCCTTATTCATTATTGACGACACGTTTGGCTCAGTTTGTAGTGACCCTACTGATTGTGCCAGCGGTCGCGGGTTCGAGTCCCTCTGGGGACATTCATATGTGTGATGAGCACGAATGTTTGTACTCCAGTCATGGGTGTTTATATTTATAATATGTATGTATTTAAAGTTATATATGTATAGTGTATCTATCAAATATCTGGAATCAATAACACAAGCCTCGTAGCTTACCATGGAATTAGATAGTGCTGTGTGTTTATGTAACATAATATATTATATATATTATAATATATATATACATAACATATTATTACCATACCAATGGTAATGTGCTTTAAGGAAAGGAATGTTATATAATATGGAAATGGCCCCAAACTTCACATTTTCATATATCTCCATCAATATTTTTAATCGTTTGATTCCAACTTTTAATTTTAATGTAACACGTATGTAAATATAAATATCAGATTATAATTATTTAGATTTTTGGATGAACTCTAAAAATATTTGTTCTATCTAGGAATAAAATGCGATGTGCTTGATATGAGAATTCTTAAAATCTTCTATCTGTGTGAGTGACATTAATTAATATGTCGGCCCAGGATGGTCGACATCAGAAATTTTCATTGTAGTAGACGTGAAAGGTGAATACAATAGATTTAATCAACTAAGTCAATTTCCCATCACACACTCAGTACTAAAATACAATATTCACAAAATAAAGCACAAATTAAACGTTACAAAAACAATAATGATAAGCAAATTTGGAAATAAGTAATTCGTCGTATACTTACGTGGAGCATGGGCGGTCCAAATCTAGCATTCCTATTGTTGTTTCTCATATAGTCAACCTTATTCTCTATTTTAATTTCTTTTTAACCGACTTCCAAAAAGGAGAAGATTCTCAATTCGTTGAAACCTTTTTTTTAAAGATGTCAGTTTGTATCTCCCTGTTACCATCGCTCTGATGCTTTAGAGTGCACTGTCGAAGTCTGACTTCACACTTTTATCCTATGAGCTTACCGAAAACCACCAGATGGCGCACTGAGCACGCTGTCAAATATAATATAGTTTCAAATATTTAAATATTAGTTAGATTTCAGTAAGTATCTTTCAAATAAGTAATAATATTTCGAGAAGAGAATAGAAAATAATATGTGATGCTATTAATTTGTAATGAACTCCATTGATCAACGTTCTTAATTCATAAGGGTTGTGTGTAAAGGCTTAGAATCTGATCCGTATGTAACATGCAGCTTAAAGGCAATATAGCAGTAAAGCCCTGTTTAAACAACCTATACCAACTGCACCCTGATTTTATCTGCGCAAAAGATAGAAAGAATTACACTTGTTATTGTAATTCTACATATGTTTGTTGAATTTGCTTGTAACAGTGTTGAATCTTAAAATAATCGAATCGAAGCGGGGGTGAGTCGCTAGTTTTATATAATACTTACTTAGATTTTTCTTGGTTTTATATAAATTTTATTTGACTGTCCGTTTAGTGTAATAGCTAGCTTATAATCTCTGTAGCAGTAGCGTAGCTATGGCAAAAGGCCCCCATTCCATTTTTGCATTGGGGCCTAAAAAGGCTAGTTATGCCACTGCCCTGCAGATGACAAGATTCTGGAAGCCCTGAGCTAAAACAAAAAGAAAGAAATTCTTTTTCTCAAGAAAATTTTAGTAGCTTCTCAACGTTAGCAAGGTTTGGTGTTCTATTTTCAATCAACGAGGAGTACGTTCAACTATCATGCATCCGTTAGAATAGACGACCATGACCGAAGTTCAATTGATGGATAGTTTTATAATAGGAGCAGTACTATATCCATACTAATATTATAAATGACAAAGTGTATTTGTTTGTTTGTTTGTCTTTCTTTCACGTCGAAATGGCTTGGCATGCTAATCCAGCATGATTTATATGTGGAGATAGTTGGAGGGCTGGAGAGTGACATAAGCTACTTTTTACCGCGGGAAATAATCTCTTTCCCACGGGAAAACACGTAATAATATAACATACAATCCAAAAAAATATTTATGATCAGAATTACTTGAAACTTGTGTTGGCCTATAATAATGTAATATCATAAAATATATGTAATATCATAAATCACTCCATGAATGTATAATAAATATTATTTGGTATAGATAATAATTATAAACTTATTTAAAAAAATATTAAACTGATTTAATTAAATAAAGTGATTTTGTTGATTCTGTTATTGAACTATTTTAAGTCAATTGATTGTCTCGGGTAGTTAATAAAAATGTGACACTGTCCTAATATAGTTCAGTTCTTAATCAACTTTTGAAAAATAAGGAATAAGAAAAGTGATTGTGTAAGTGTTGGAACGTGAGAGTAAATTCACTAAGTGCAAGTAACGTGTTTTATTGAAAAATCACCGACCCAGAAGTTAGTGCCAACATTTCAGAAGTGGGATAAGGTGAGTAACAGAATTTTTTTTTTCTTTCTTTTGCTTACCTGCCAAGCCTACAAATATTTGTACATAATATAAAATTAGAAAGTTACATTATATGAATTTAAAAATATTATATAGTATTCCAGTGAAAGTATCAATTGTGTTTTATGAAATATACATAAAATTTTTGTCTTTATTACTTTTCGTTTTTCTGTTGTTTTGTTGGGTAAAATAACGTTCTTAATATGTGATACGGTGTATAATGTGTATAACCTTTGTCAGTCTAAACTTTTACTTTAAATTGTCGTTGTACAAATGATGTGTCGAAAATATTTCAACAGTGAAATGGGAAACGATGAGAGCCCCAAGGCGTCAGTGGATCGGCGATCGCGGAGTAGATTGAAGTCCACTAGAAGTCGGCGTCGTGGTGATAGCAGTCGCAGTGTGCGAAGCCATGCGAACCACCATCACCAGACCCGCAGTGGTCGCTCGCCCAGCCGACGGTCGCGCAGCCGTATGTGTGTGCAGTCACGCAGTCGCGCTGATCGTCGCAGGCACAGTCGTGCCAACTACCGGACGCGCAGCCGCAGCAGCCACCGATCGCTAAGTCCTACCAGTCACCGTTCACGCAGCCGACCTGGACACAGCAGGGCCGTGCAGCGTGGCCATACTGAAACCAGCCAGATGCAACGGCAACAACAGCAAAGGTCTCCCCGCCAAGTTTTAACACCAGACAGGTTAGTGCCAGAAACCTTGTCAAATAGTGGAAATGTTACTCTTACACAGTTAATACAAGCATTACAAACTATAGGGAAAAATAATAGTAATGATAGATTACAGACACAAAATACGCTTCCAGACTTTGATCCCTCCCGTAAAGAACAGACCATTGATATGTGGTTGCACAAAGTAAATGAGTGTGCAGTTATTTATGGCTGGACTGACAAACAGACAACTCACTATGCACTTCCAAAATTGAAGGGTACTGCTCAAAAGTGGTATGAAGGTCTCAATACTGTAATGTTTACGTGGAAGGAATGGCAAGATAAACTGCGCCTGGCTTTTCCTAACGATGATAACTATGGGCGATTACTCTCGACAATGTTAGCCAAACGTGCTAGGTTTAACGAATCTCTCGAGGATTACTTCTATGACAAAGTAGTTTTATTGAATCGTTGTGGCATTGAAGGAAAGAAAGCGGTAGATTGCATTGTATTTGGAATTGACGATCGTACTGTAAGGTTAGGAGCAGAATCGGCTCGATTTGAAACACCGGAACAATTGCTTCCGTTTCTTATAAGTACTAGGGGTACTAGTAATGTTAATGATAGAAAACGTGTTCGAAATACTGATTCAAGTGTAAGTAGGGATGATATCCGACGGGATCGCGTAATAATATGCTTTAATTGCTCACAAAGGGGTCATTATAAATCTCAATGCCCTAGCCCAATTATAAAATGTACTAAATGTTTACGTTTCGGACATACTTCGGATAAATGCGAGAATGGTAGCAAAACTTTAGTAAATACCAATAGTAAACTTACATCTAATTCCGTCATGCTTGTAGCTGGTATTAACGCGAACTGTCATAAGTATTATAAAGAGGCTGTTGTAAATGGTATTTTAAAAACATGCTTTATTGATTTTGGTAGCGCAGTAAGTCTTATTAGAATGTCAGATGTAGAAAGTTTAGATGTCAAATGGGTTCCTGATAATTCGATACCACCTCTGATAGGATTTGGCAACTCAATGGTTAAACCAATAGGTAAATTTTTGGCCACAGTTAAAATTGATCATGCTAGTGCTTTGGTAGAACTGGTTATCGTACCGGATGAAGTACTGAAAGAGCCGTTGCTAATTGGTAGATCATTTACTGAACAACCTCACATAATGGTTGAAAAGGATAATGTAATGTTGAAAATATTCTCAAATGAAATAGCACCAACACGTATTAAGTATAACCTTAATTGCTCCAAAGATACGATAATTGACGGACTGACATTAGTAGAATTTAGCACAGACCCTTCATTTACGGGCGATGTTTATATTGAGGGCAGCAATAGGTTCAAAAATGGGGAAGAACACTATGTGGTACAAGGATTGTTTTCCATTGTCAATGGTCTAGGTATAGCATTGGTGAAAGGGATTAGTTCGCGAACATTTATTATTAAACGTGGTACAGTAATAGCAAGGTGTATTCGAGCTGAGCCACTAAGTAATAATAATAAGCCTGACGTTCTCCGAATAGACGTACCTACATCTCCGCGTAGTATTAGCAGTAATGAAATAATGTCCGATGGAACGCTAAGTACTAAAACAATTAATTCATTAATACGCTTGCTTAATAATTACAGACAGTGTTTTGCTTTTAGTCTACAGGAACTTGGGAAAACTGATTTAGTAAATATGTCCATTAAATTGAAAGACGATGAGCCAGTAGTGTACAGACCTTATAGGTTACCTGTTTGCGAAAGGAATAAAGTGCGGGAGTTAGTTAACGAATTAGTCGACTGCAAAATAGTGCGACCTTCGACGTCACCTTATGCTAGTCCCATAGTCGTTGTTAAAAAGAAAACTGGTGAGGTACGCCTATGTGTCGATTATAGGGCCCTAAACAGAAAAACTTACAAAGAAAATTTTCCTTTACCCCGGATTGACGATCAATTAGATTCATTAGCAGGATATCAATATTACACTGTCCTTGATTTAGCTTCTGGTTATTACCAAATAAGTATAAACGAAGAAGATCGTTACAAAACTTCGTTTGTCACGCCAGATGGGCAGTTTGAATTTAATAGGATGCCCTTCGGGTTAGCTAACGCACCGGCAAATTTTATGCGTATGATCAATTTAGTTCTGTCTAGTGCTAGGGATATAGCATCGGCTTATATGGACGATATAATTATACCCTCAAATTCAATAGAAGAAGGATTAAATAAGTTAGAAAAGGTTTTGCAGTTATTGTCGAACGCAGGATTAACATTAAAATTATCTAAATGCTATTTCTTTAGTAAATCTGTAGATTATTTAGGTTTTGAGCTCAGTAAGGAAGGCATTAGGCCAGGATCAAGAAAAATTCAGTCTGTCAAAGAATTTCCAGAGCCTTGTAATTTGCATACTGTTAGACAATTCATTGGGTTATGTAGTTTCTTTAGGCGGTTTATCAAAAATTTTTCGAATATTGCTAAGCCATTGACAAGTCTTTTAAAAAAAGATTCTAAGTGGGAATGGGGTTCTGAGCAGAAAACAGCATTTAACACTCTTAAAGAAATTTTACTGCAAAAGCCAGTTTTAAAATTGTACGATCCTAGTGACGATACCGAGTTGCATACGGATGCCAGTAAATTGGGTATTGCTGGGATCCTTATGCAGCGCGGGAGAGATAACCTACTCAGACCCGTTGCGTATTACAGTCGACAAACGACCATTTATGAACAGCACATGACAGCATACGAACTTGAAACTTTAGCTCTGGTCGCATCATTACAAAGATTTCGCGTTTACTTAATCGGTGTTAGTTTTAAAGTTGTTACAGACTGTAATTCCCTTCGAGCGACATTTTTAAAAAAAGATTTAATACCACGAGTGGCCAGATGGTGGATAACTATGCAAGAGTTTGATTTTTCTATAGAATATCGGCCAGGTAAAACGATGAGTTATATTGATGCTCTTAGTAGAAATCCGCCACTTATGAATAAGGAAAATAGTGAAACAGTTATGGTAGTTGAGGAATCTGATTGGTTAAGTACTGTACAGGAATCTGATTCAGAAATACAGCGGATAGTTTCGATTTTAAAAGACCCAGGGTCGATTCATATTGCCGATATAACGAAAAATTATGTATTACGTAATAATAGGTTATTTCGTGTGACTGATCAGGGTAATAAATGGGTAGTACCAAAGGGCGTACGCTGGCAAATCCTTAAACAGTGTCACGACGATATTGGGCATTTCGCGTTTGATAAAACTTTAGCAAAAGTTAAAGAAACTTATTGGTTCAGTAAAATGCGCCGTTTTGTCAAAAAATATGTCGAGTCATGCTTAGAATGTGCTTACGTAAAAGCCTCTTCCAACAGAAAACCACCATTAAATCCGATCCCAAAGGTAGATTCTCCATTTGCCACTTTGCATATAGATCATGTAGGGCCGTTCGTAAAGAGTTCAAAGGGGAACACTCATTTATTAGTAATCATTGACGCGTATACTAAATTTATAATTATCAAAGCAGTAAGAAGTACTAAAGTTTCTATAGTTATTGATAAATTAAAGGAATATTTTAGTATTTTTGGTATGCCGAATAGAATTATATCAGATCGTGGGTCTTCATTCACAAGTAACAAATTCAAAGATTTCTTGCACGGATTAGGTATAAAACAGATATTAAACGCAGTTTCAACACCTAGAGCAAACGGGCAAGTAGAAAGATACAATCGTACGTTGCTAGATGCGTTGACTGCTATGTGTAACGGCCAAGATGAAAAAAAATGGGATGTATATGTTCCAGGTGTACAGTGGGGCCTTAACAATACTCATAATAAGGGTATAGGAACGACTCCCGCGAAAGCTCTCTTTGGTACCACATTGGTCGGTTTTACTGAGAATAGGGTGAAGTCCCTCTTGGGTGACAATAACGAAATAGACTCTAATAAAGTAAGTGACATTCGTGATAAGATTAATGAATATATTTCCACATACCAAAGCAAAAGCAAAGAACTATATAATAAGAATTCTGTACAACCTAAAATTTTTAAAATTGGAGATTTGGTTAGCGTTGCGAGAGAAATACAATCGTCAGGACAAAGCCGTAAGTTAGTTCCAAAATTTCAGGGCCCATATCGTATAGCCTCAGTATTAGGGAACGATAGATATGAGATTGTAGATACACCTCTTACACGTAAGGGCAATCGTAAATTTACTTCTGTAGTCGCGGTCGATAAATTAAAACCGTGGCTAAGTTATAACAGACCTGATGAAATTGAATCTAGTAACGAAGATAATATTGAAGATTCTAATTCTGATTGTTAACCCTAAATCAAATTTCGTTTATGACTGTTATAATAAATGGTTTTAATTTACTGTTGCTATTAGTATTCTAAGGAGCTAAGTTAATATTTTTAAAGAATTGTAAATGAATATCTTTAGAATAACAAATCGATAGTTCTGTGTTAATTATTAAAAGACTATGAAGCATACATCTGTTGTTAATTATTTAAATTGGGCAGTATGGACCCTAACAGTCGAACAGTATTCAGTGCAGAAGCGGCCTGTTGCTGTATTTTTAAAATTGATGAAAGAGATTAGTTGTACAGGGTAGAAGCAACCCTGATGAATGTCAGTGTTCAGTGCAGAAGCGGCATGTCACTGTTCGTGTGTCGTATTCAGTGCAGAAGCGGCCTGTTACGATACATTTGAATGGGTAGAAGCGGCCCTAACGATTTTGATGTGTTGTTGCTGCGATTGTCAATTTTTTTTTGATGTATTTAATCATGAAATGATGTATAAATGTTATCAATACGGTTTTTATATTTACAAATGTATTGTATTCTATATTGTTATGATAAAAGTTTTATTGGCAGAAGCGGCCCTTGAGATTTTTTATGACTAGTCGTCATCAAGTTTGATTTTATCAAATTGGTGATTTTTATTAATTGGATATTTATTGTTTTACATAATATATTGTTGAACAATGTATAATTGGAAACGATTAAGTTAAATATTGTCAAACTATGTAAGTTACATGAGCTACATTAATCAGTATAAATACATAATATAGCCTACACGAGGACGCGTAGATTTGGTCGGATGGCCGAATGTTGGCCTATAATAATGTAATATCATAAAATATATGTAATATCATAAATCACTCCATGAATGTATAATAAATATTATTTGGTATAGATAATAATTATAAACTTATTTAAAAAAATATTAAACTGATTTAATTAAATAAAGTGATTTTGTTGATTCTGTTATTGAACTATTTTAAGTCAATTGATTGTCTCGGGTAGTTAATAAAAATGTGACACTGTCCTAATATAGTTCAGTTCTTAATCAACTTTTGAAAAATAAGGAATAAGAAAAGTGATTGTGTAAGTGTTGGAACGTGAGAGTAAATTCACTAAGTGCAAGTAACGTGTTTTATTGAAAAATCACCGACCCAGAAGTTAGTGCCAACACTTGGTATAAATGCTCTTCAATACAATTAATTAAATACGTGTTTTAGCATTTTCCGAAATTCATCCCATAAGGGGGTAAAATAGCGGATGAAAGTTTGTATGAAACCTACCATTTTAGAGTTTTTTTTTGTAGTTTTAGCGCGAGCGAAACCGCGGGTTCTGCTAGTCATATTATAAAAATAATTAACTATAAAATTAGAATTAATAATAACTTCTATAATATATTTATAACTTGTATTATTTACATAATATTATAGTAGTTAACCACTTGTAGATAAATGTTAAAAATAACTTAATAGTGTTGTTGTGTATTCTAAAATTGATAGGTACTACAAGTACATAAATCATAAAAAAAAACCATTTTATTCATATTTTTTAAGTTTCAATTTTTTTTTATTATAAAGTTTTTTTTAATGAAGACTGTCAAAGTTTTATTAAATTTCGAATTGTAGTCGCTATAGCAGCAATTTTTATGTTTTTATATAAAAAGATATTCGATTACATGTAATATGAACCAAATGACCGCCGCTGTTTTACTGCACGTGCAGCTTATTCACGTCAGTGATTTATTATAACCCCAAAAAGCCCTAAATTGCTCAAGGTACAAAGTTTTCTGCAACGTTTGATTGAGGTGTGTTTTGACTGTTTACTAAAGTCAACTTTTCTGTGTTTGTTAGACCAGTTTTAATTAATTGGAATCTAATTAGTTGGCCAAAGAAAAGACAACAGGTCGATTTTATGTGTCGTAAAAAACACGCCGTAGAGCAAACGTCGTATCAACTTCTTTTGACTGTAATGTTTGTTGGTTAAAAGTCATTGTTCTAAATTGTTAATTTTCTTGGTGATTTGTGCAATTTATGACTACAATCTTTATCTCTGACAGCAGAAAGCTCAACTATGTGGTAGCTATAAACTTAAAATTTTCGATAGTTGGTTTTGGAGAACCCTAGAGGGAAATATAATCTGTGGGCATTTTATGTTGTAGCACAGCTGTTACAGCTAATTTAACCGTGAAACTTGGCACTTAATATTTTCAAAACCATAGCATGCCACACTGCTGGAACAATATTAACCAAACATAGCTAAGAACCACCGCAAGAAAACTAGCTTTCAAATGAAAAAAAAACGCATCGAAATCGGTCTATCCGTTTGAGAGCTACGATACCACAGACACACACACACACACACACGCACGCACGCACGCACGCACGCACGCACGCACGCACGCACGCACGCACGCACGCACGCACGCACGCACGCACGCACGCACGCACGCACGCACGCACACACACACACACACACACACACACGCAGACAGACAGACGTCGACGTCAAACTTATAACACCCCTATTTTTGCGTCTGGGGTAAAACTGGCCTTACTCATATTTTCATTCCTTTTTATATTCCTACCACATTTACTGGATGAAATTAATTTATTTTTAGTGCTAAATGTGTTATTGTGTACGTATGCCTAGAACAGGCGTCTTTATATATAGTTACTTAGAAATCAAAATTATGTAGCTACGAGTAACATACGTATAAAAATTTAAAAAAATATATATAAATTAATCACCCGCTTATCAGGTAGCCACATTTAGACACAGAATATGTACTTAACCAATATACCTATCTGAACTTGAATATTTTATAATGTTTATTTTGTACTTTCTATACTAAATTTGTATATATATACAAAGCAAACATTTAATTATTATTGTAGAAGTCATGTTCGGGAGACTGACTGTTGATCTACTACTCAAAGGCTTAGGGTACATGTAAATTAATGTTTGGTTTATTTTAATTAACTGTTGCACCGATATCCATGCAATTTGAGATAGAGATAGATGATGGAAACGGATATAGGTTAAGAGTGTGGGATAAGGGATGAAAATATGATTTTTTTTATTTTTCTTAACACCTACGATCGAAATTTATAACAAAACCTCACAAAATTCCCGTATTTGTTATGAGATGGGTATTTTTTTCATCATCATCTGAAAAAGATTTGTATAATTTAGGGACATGAAGTCAGTACTTGCTTGAATATTATTATAAATACGAAAGTTTATAAGTGCATGTATAAACAAATACGTATGAAATCCTTCACGCTAAAACGACTGGACCGATTTGGATTACATTTAGTAGGTACACATATAGATTAGTATATCTGTAAGAGCTGAAGTGTCGCTAGTATTATATTTATGTACCACAAAAAACATAAAAAAATAGATACATACCTTGTGTACAGGATGACGTATCTCTTTAAGAGATATCTACCAGAAACACTCGAGCTTAAAAAAAAGTAATCAGTTGCGGTGTAAGTACAAACTAAAAACATCAATCTTAATAATATTAGTACCTGGGCTACCGAGCTTCGCTCGGAGTTTTTGACCTCAAGTACAATTTTCTTTTTTTTTTTAAACTAAAAACTTGAATAAATATAAAAAAAAACAAAAGTTAAAACTTTGGGGCGACCGAGATTCGAACCTGGACACCTATGATTGTTGATCTTGCACTTTGGCCACTTGACCACGATGCTTATGTCCGAGCGTGCAAATTACCGACCATATTTTGTGTGAAATAATGCAAAAGAAAACTGCATAAAAACTAGAAAACACGCGTTTTCTCAGACATAAGACTATAAGATAAATGTGAAAGTTTAGATGGGTGTTTGGAAGTTTGTTATTTAATCAAAGATTTGAATAAAATTTAGTAGGTACACAAATAGATAATCTATCTGTAAGAGCTGAAGTGTCGCTAATATTATTATATGAATGCTATTATAGGTGTAGGTGGGTGGCGCGGATGATGAGCGGGGCGGCGGCGTGCTCCGTTCTCCGCTAGATAATGCGCGCCGGGTGAGAGTGCTCGCCCACGGTGCATGTACGCGGCGGCGGGCGGCGCGTCGCTCGCGGGCCGAAAGGTATACTGTGATGACAGATGTACAGAGATACAGCTAATTGAGTTGTATATAAAAAAAACAATTTTGTTTTAAATAAAACTATATTTTCCCTAATCTTGGTCACGGAAGAGACTTTCTCCCGTGACCATGATTGCTGTAAAGCATTTAAAACGTCGGGACCAAAAATCAAAATAAATTCATGAAGGAATCCGAAAAGCTAGTTTTATTTAAAATGTCTAGTATTCGCGTAAATCTAAGAAAATACTATGATATATTTAATATGTATACTATGTATGTACAGACATACATACAATTAATTATAATTATTAAATAATGTGTATTATTTAACAAAGGTAATGCTAATAACACTGCTATACCTATCACATCGGTTGATTATCAATATTGTTAGTAGTTAAAGGTTATGTAAGTACAGACAGCTTAGTTATAAAAGTATTAGCTAATTGTATGTTTTCTGTAATGAAGTGAGTTTTATAACTTAAATCATACTTTAAATTAAATTTGTGACAATTACCTGTTTGAATAAAGTGACTTATAAACTAAAGAACTGTAATATTATTCTAAATTTTGATGAGTCTTGATAGTAGTAAATTGTAGACGATGTTGGTACGCAGGGTATACCAGGAAAAAGGAGCGCGTCACAACTTATTTGAAAGGTATATATTTTAAATAATAAAGTTCTAACAAAACTATATTCTACGAGAAAAGCTAAAAAAAATCTGTGCCAAATAAAGTGTAACATCGTGGTAAGAGACATTAGGTACCACTAGGTACCGTACCTACCACTTATTATAAGAATTTTTATAGAATAAAAATTAGAAACTCGGCTCTTTCTCCGCCAGAAGTGTAAGTAGATGACAGCTAATTTATGAATTAAATTTCTTAATCAGAATAGCCTTAATTCTACTTCTGCTTTCTCTTACTTGGGACACCTCTTACCGTGGATAATCGATTAAAGACTTTTATTGAAATATTATTGTATATCGATTAATATTATCTCGATCCCTGAAAGCTACCAGTCATTTTGGTGGTTCAAGTACTACTACTAAATAATAAATTGAAAATTCATTCTAATAGCATTATAAAATGTTATCTAATCAAAAATAATTTTATGGGGACCTTGTATTATAATTATATTGACCCTACGTATAGCTTAAGTGAAATTATTTTTATGATTTTCTTACTGTTTAGGGCTCAATCATTTTTATATCCTTAAATTATTTGAATTAAATTCTATATTAAAAAAAATGCAATCGATTATTATTAATACGCTTAAATAGTTCTCGCGTAATGTTTACTAACCAGTAGGTATAATTAATAATATGATTATTTATATTAATAGTACGCTTAGGTACTAATGAAAAGTTTTCCAAAGTTTCCGTAACGTGTATATTGTGATATACCGTATTCGAGGTAAATTACAGTTTCGATTATTAATATTTAATTATTTTTCTAACCCTTTCCAAAGTAGATGAAGAATGCCATATATCACAATCCTACTTAATAGCTTTAACACCGTTTGATCTATTTGCTGATGTAGTATCATTCACGAAATTTGAATGAGCATATTTTTATCATGTCATCGCACTTGCGTTCAAATCAACTGAAGAACGTACTTTGATGCACAAAAAACAGAGAATATATTCCAAAAAATAAAGAGATAAAATATATTACATAATTCTGAGGTCTTGGGTTCAAACCCCGTTTAGTGCAACGTTTTAGCCATGTATTAGTCACAACTTAGATGTAGTTCATATACTCTTTATTTATTTGCACTGAGAGATATTTAGTGTGTAGTGTTATTAAATAATTAAGTACCAAAGTTAAAGATAAGACTATCATGATTGGAATATATACTTTGTGCTTGGTTGCAGTTTCAAGTAGCGTGTGTGTAGAGGTTTTTGTGAGACAATGGACAGATCATGGTGTGTGTACAGGCGCGCCAACACGGCCGCCAGCCCGTGCCGCCGAGCCCGCGCGCGGGCAGCCCCGTCCACCCCGCGCCCACCGGCGTCCGTGCGTACTCCTGCCAGCACTGGGAGTCACGACTACAGGTGCCACCCCGCAATCTCTCCGGCCTCGGACTCCAGACACCATGCGAGCTCGTCGAGGTACTATATGTTGTGCCTGTCTTCGATGTTAGACTAAGCATGTCCTGTAAGAGCTACATACACACCACTGCCCGCATTTTAGCGGAAGGCCGTCGGTGCGTATGTCGCTTTACCCGCTTTTGTAAGTAAATATAGCATTCGATGTACCCGTATTTTAATTTGTGAGCATGAGTGAGACAATGCAATGTTTGGGGTCACCTTTAATTTGATTACGCGTAATCCTATCGTACTATAAGTGTGCCGGTTCCAGCGCGCGTGAGAGGACGTCAGTGAAATGTGTGTGTTGATACGCGAAGTGATAAAAGTAGGCCGGCCATGAAACAGAGACATCTAGCGGAGAGCGTTCGGTGGCAGGTGTTGAAGTATCAGAGACTGCGACTTGACGTGCGGAACGAGACATGAGTGTAACATATAATTAAAATATAATTTTAATAAACAATTAATAAAACGTAACGCCAAAGCGCTCGCTTCCAATATCGTTTTCTCACAAAACATATCGTAATTAGGGTAATAAAGTTCAATTAGAATAAAAATTTAATATAGTTTCGCGCCTTTTCTTGTGCCTATCTACCAATTCTAAAGCGTTTCAAGTGAGATCATTCAATATTACTATAAAGGGACTAATATAAAGTGATATTAATATTCGCGTAAACGTATACCTTTCTGCTGTATAAATACATAAAAGAACTAGAATAGTCACGCTAGAATTAGATAAAATTGCTCGAATTAATTAATATACTATTATACTAAGAACTAATAGCAAACGTGCATTAATCGAGATCGAGTTAAGTGAGTTGTGATATAGTGAACCTTAGCGTAGGCGCTAAGTAGTTTTCCCCCGCGTTTACTTACGGCCTCAAAGCTGGCAAGTATGCAGGCAGCTCTTATGCTAAGAGCGAAATCGCGGGAGAGAAGAAAACAACGACTGAAGCGAGGGATCAAGAGCGAGTTGCCGAGTAATGTGGCGACAAAACCCATTGCACCGTTCCCGAGATACCCGCCAGCGTCTTGGGTATGTACTAGATTTACATTTGCTAATTGCCTACAAGTGCATGGCAACTAATGCATTGTCGTCGTGCTTTTATAGAAATGAATGCATCGTGTTATTATGCCATTTGGAACTTTAGTGCTAAATGTGGAGCAACTTTATATGTATTATACTTTTAGGTGGTATATTGTTTTGGGACAATAGTTTATTCGGAGAGTAAACCGTGGACTATTTTCATCATCAGCTTACTATTCTTTCGAAGTTCATTTCGCGACATTTGAATTGCGGCCACGAGAATCAAGTACTTTTCAAAGTTTAATCTTTTGTGTCACTATTGTCCTATGTGACCGTATTTATTTTAAAAAAAGCAAGAAGCACTCTACTCCAGCCTATTTTCTACATTGAATGTTCGGCAAACGCTCTTGCGCTGAAGCAATTCATCAGTTACTGTCTGTCCCCGGCATTCAACGCGCCATTGTTTTCATTTCCCACCATATAACAATACTATACAATAGTTACTATACTGCTGTTGTGCCGGAATATTTATGACAACTTGTTCATGAAAGCTTGTTGCATATTCTATGATCAGAGACTAAATGCGATTCATGAATTTTCAGCAGTCAAGTTAACACTGTACTATCAACTTCATTTGCATTTCTATTACACATGTACTAGGGCATGTATTAACTATGAAGAAGATGCTTTTTCTATTCAAAGTGAGCTTACAGTCTACAGCATATAATCATTAAAGCTCTAATACAAATATTTAAGTAAAACCATTTCTTTATATGTGAAATGAAAAACATTACGCGAAGTATTTTTTTCACTACCAGTCTAAATATTAACTTATAAGTGAGAAAATAAACATCAACGTCCCAACAACCAGGAAGTATCCAGCGATAAACCTTCCCATCCGTCCTTGTGACCTCGTTTTAATTTTTTCGAAACACGCTAAGTGAATGAAATACGAGAATTTTTGATCATTGTTGAAAATTAAATATGGCAGTATTTAAACACTTGGTTATTTATAAGTGTTGTTAACTACTTTATACTACTTGTTAGGTTAATACTCGTAATAGACTGTTGGCGAAATAAATTGTGCTGAATAAGCCTAAAAACTTATTAATGACAAATTAAATTGAGTTAGATCTTTCACAACTGACAATAGTATATAGAGTCGTCAAGTAATAAATAAAAAAATAAAAGCATCCTATGATATCAACTGAAAAGATTCATCGACATAGTTACAAATTAATTACACATTTATTATATTATGTTAATATACATGGTTTAAATGTTATTATAGAAAAAATAGGAAAAATGATTATACCCTTTATCTTATCTCCAAAATTTAAAATATATAATCTGTGCTCAAATGGCACATTTTCAAGCCATTAACAAGATAATTGAATTGAATTCAACTGAATTTTGAAAAACAAATAAAGAATCATGTACGTAACATGATGACGGCTTCATGATTAATCAACATTTAAATGCAAGTAAAATTCTAAGCCTTACAATTCAAAATTAAAAAAATAATAATTTTGTTGCACTTGAACATTTCTTGATGATTCGTTTTCATTTTATTAGATTATTTTAACACTTACAAACGACATATTATAATAATATTTATCATAAACCAATAATGAAAAGCTTACTGAATCTTGTTAGGTTTCATACAGGTGACCTGATTTATATGAAAACAATAATTTCATACAGAATACAACAACTAAATACCGTACATTCATAATATATCAGTTTAAAAGTTGTTTATCATGAAAAAGCATGACATGAACAGTAACAATGTTACTTAATGAGCATTTTTAGAAAAAAAAGTTAACAAAATTTCATTTTAACAAAATTTAAACAATTTTTTTCCATTTTAGATTGCGTTGATTTTGTAATTGCATAGAATTCAAACTCTTTATTGAGAAATTCATTAAAACGCACCTGCTTCCTTCCGGCTTCCGTACAAGTGGATGTGTCAGTAATCTCTACGTAAATACAATAAAATAGTAGAGCGAAGCAATGGTAATTAGTTAGTCTCTTATAAGCGTCGATAAGACCAAATTTGATACCTTCATCACCAAGATGAGACGTCGTGGAATCATGTAAAAATACTACCATTTTTAGTAATATTATTTGAGAAGACTGCGCCCATATATTTTAGTTATAGATATATTGTTTACAAGAGATAAATTAAAAATTTTAAAAACCCTCGACTATCTTGGACCGATTTTTATCAAACATAGTTAACACTGCCGACTAATTCACGTTTCTAACAAAAAAACCAAATCAAAATCGGTTCATCCGTTCAGAAGCTACGATGCCACAGACAGACACACAACGCACAGAGACACGTCCAACTTATAACATCCCGTCATTTTAGGGTTAAAAACAACATGCAACAAATCTAAATTTCATAATTTTTATTAATAAATCGTTTTCGATATGAAAATGCACAAAAATCATTATAAAAATTAACATATAGACAATTCAATCGCATATTTCATAATCAATTACTAAGCACAGTATATTCTATGTGAACGTTGACAGCTACGATCCAGCTATCAAGCGGAAACCATTACCGCCATGCCGTCGCTAAATGTGCCCATACAACACCATATTCGCTGGCATCTTATACTGGATGTACTAAACGAATTTAGCCTTTAACTCTATAATCTTAAGTTACATTTTAAATATTACATGTCATTTTAATTGTGCATATCTTTATTTAACGTGGTAAAACAATTTGCAAACGTAGTACAGCGACGAGGGAAAAAAATAAAATTTTATGTTTTTGTGCTATCGCTAATTTTAATCTATTTATAGACTGGTGTTATATGAGTTTTGTTAGATTGGATATACTCGAACTTTAACAGAAGAACTCTTTTAATGATGTGAACTATTTAGGAAACAAAAAAATAGGGAAATAAAATTATTATAATATGATATATGTACATTTTTGAATACACTAAGTTTATGGGTTCGACTTATACATATATGAAGTAGTCCCAACAGTATATCTATACATACATAAATTAAAAAAAAATAATGAGTCGTATCTGTACATTAAATATTTTTTTTGGAAAATCTTATTGAAATAGCCATTATTATCGATACAGAAGCCGAATTTATAGTTTTTAAAATTTTTGTCTGTCTGTCTGGGAACGCGTCACGAGAATAGCACTGGTCAGATTTAGATCTTTGGTGTAATGATAGTTGGTTATCCAAGTCAATATATAGGTCACTTTTTGCTGCGGGAAAACATCTCATCTCTGTGAAATCTATAACTAAACGTTAAGACGTAGATAGGGATAAACCCGATCGGAAGCAGGATAAAGAGGCAAAGTCGTCAAAAACAGTCATTGAAAATGTTTATATCTGTCTGTCTGCCTGTCTGTTACCGCATCACAGAAAAACCACTGAAGAGATTTTGATGAAATTTGGCATGGTGATAGCTGGTTATCCGGGTCAACATATAGGATACTTTTTACTGCGGGAAAATATCTCATTTTTGAGAAATAATACAAACACGGCATTGTAAGCGTATACTAATATGTAAAACCTAAGAATTTTGTTTTTGGTCATCTGAACGCGGGCGGAGCCGCGTGCAATGCTAGTTACAGATAAAATAGTGGTTTTTAGAAATGCCTGTTAAAATACTTTTTATACTAAAATCCTTGCTTTAAGCAAAGTTATACTAGTCATGCTCCATTGAACTTATCACAAGATAGCAAAAACCATTTTCAAGTTGCTAAGTAAGCCATTAAAAAGACAAAGTACTTAAAAAAAGCAGAAGCGACAGCCGTGATTAATCTTTATTTACATCAACAGTTTAATATTTTATTTTATATTCAACAAGTTGCAGATTATACTGTAGTAAAATAAAATAGCAATAACAAATATTGCAAAATGTTAATTCTCATTTTGTGTTACTGCTGAGCCATTAGTTATTTCTGGAATCACAATTCTTTAGTAAAACTTTGTAGGTATAATACGGAAATGTGACGACTTATACATTTTTAAAGCTGTCCTATAAGTTTATGTTAAATAATACAAAAATATAAAAACTAAAAAAAACCGACTTCCAGGCAATAAAATGAAAAAACTATAATTGGAGTTCATAAATAATCAAATTTGCTTATTAAATATGAATATCTTAGAATATTGTCGGCTGGTACCGACTTCGAAAATATCTGATAAGGTATCTATTCTAAATGAAAATCCGTTTAGTTATTTTTTACATTTGTGCCTGGAAGTCGGTTTTTCTTAAGTTTTTATTTTTCTATTTTTAGTGTAGACGTAATAAGCAGGTAATTTGTAAGAAGAAAGTTTTTAAATAACATATTCGATTAAGCAATTTATTTAAAAAAATAGTTAATTGTTGATTTTTTTAAAACCACTCGACCGATTAAAAAAATCCAAATCGGTTCAGGCGCATTCGAATAATCGGTGAACGTACATAAAAAAAAGATTCCGACGAATCGAGAACTTCCTCCTTTTTGGAAGTCGGTTAAAAATAGAGGTAAAGTTGTCAAAAACAGTTTGAAATTTATTTAATCAATTTATTTAATTAATAATTATCAGCCGAAACATCGATTACATTATAGTCCAAGCATGTCCTTCTCTTGACTGATGCTGAGCCCCCACCAAGCGTGTATGAAGGAGATTGATAAGACTGGAATAAGCGAAAGAGATAAGTGGAGATCGTAGCGCTTGGCACTCTGTTCTCTCTGTCTACCCCACAAGTGACACAGCGTGAAGTTGTGTGTCTGTGTGAGTAGGTTAAAAAAGTGAACTAAAAAGAAGAGAGACATACACGAACACACATGCAGTTATTCATGACATGTACATTTATGTATATCTCCGACTACATAATATGTACCTATAGTATTATTTATGATCTGTGATAATACTATTTTACCTTGTCAACTTGTTCTCGTCTTTTTAGTTCACTTTTTACGCAGTCGGGTTTTATTTTATTTTTGTAAATATTTTATAATTATTGACAGTTATTTAATTTAGGTCAGTTAGACATTTTTTTGTTTTATTTAACAATTTCGTATCCTAAATTACTTTATAACATATATTATATATGCTTTATAACATATAAGTTATGTATATTTTTGTAATCGCCTCTTAAATATCTGTATTTTGATATCCCACCCGATTTATTCGCATAAAAAAATTCTTTCAAGACACGCAAATCGTCGTCTAGGATCAGGCATTATGATTTTTAATGATATCTAGATACCCTATGACACTTACGTTATCAAGACGAATCGAGTGACGTATGAATTATCAAAATCGGTTAAGCCGTTAGTAATTACGAGGGAACATAAGATCGGACATACATACAGACATACAGGTCAAACTCATAATCCTCCTTTGGGAATTGCCGCAGTCGGTTAAAAATATTTGATTTGACCAGGAACCGTCTCAGTGACTTCCAATCTAATTGGTAATGCCAGCTCCACACCTTTTGTATGTTTTGTGACGAATGGTAATTATAGTCATATAGAGTTAATTATTCAAAGTAAAATTATCATAAGCCCAAGATTATTATTTAAGGGTTATTGTTTTTTCTTTGCATTTTACCATATTTATCGGACTACTATCATAAATATGTATGTGTGTATGTTTGTTACTTTTTCATGATTATGCGGCTGAACAGACTTGTATGAGGCTTAGTATATTATTGATAGACTACTTATAAATAAAAACATATTATAAAAATAAAAAAACGATAAATGATTTTTTTTGCATTTAAAAAAAATAATAATTAAAAAAACTAAAACTTTATCGAAACTACCTATTTTATGTAAAATGTCGATAATAGGGCGGCAAGTGACAAGTAGAGAGCCATTTTTCGTGTTAAAATAATCTATGCCGCATGAATAACCCATCACTACATTTTATCTTAGCCAGATTAGGAACGTGAAGAACTAAATAACAAATATTAATTCTAAGTAAAAATAGAGTCAATGACCTTCGCAGACTTAGACATACTTAATAAAATATTGGCTATGCTCTAAGGAAAAAAATGTTAGAAAGAATAACCGTAAAGCAAAGCAAAAAAAATGTTAGAAATAATCACAAAGTAATATACAACTTGGTAAATAACAAATGTAACTAAAAATACAAAGAAATAAATGACGGCCATGGCGCAGTGGTTCCATAGTTGACTAATAACTAAGCAAATAAAAAACCCGGCTGCGCAAAAATTATTGACTGTAACAATAATTGTTTTATGTTTTATACATGTTACTTTTTTATAGTTTGTGTAAAAATGATAGCGGAAACTTTTTATAGTATACTATCGACATACCCTTACTTCGCTCGGGTGCATCCCTATGTACATTTTATATAGAATAAATAGTTAATTAGGCAGCATTAGCCATCAAAAAAAAAATTTCGTGACTTTTTCGATGTTTTAATAGTTATTCTGCTATTTGGGGCGGAGATAAATCCAACAAATCGAAGATCAGCAAATTCGGTCCAGGTATTCTCGAGTTATAAGTGTTGTAACAAACCCGACTTTGTTTTATATATATAGATTCCTATTTGAAATTGATTACACTACTTTTTATATATTACAACAATAATAAAATACAATAAAGATGCATGTAAGTAGAAATTTCATACATATTATGTACAGCAAGAAAAGCTTAACATTTAAATTAAGTTTTTAGTCTGTACAGCATACAAAAAAAACATACTATTGCATTATTATTTTCAGGGCAGTAGTACAAACATCTGTATCGTTTCCTCGAACTTTCAAGCAAGTGTCACTTCCACTCTTCCCTAGTCTTTGCATGGAAAAGTCGAGTCGACCAGACACTAGGGCCGAGTGTGTCAAGGCTCTACGCTATGCAGATATTGATGTGCTCGATCGATGTCCGACTGACTGATGACGCGGTCATGACGTCCTTATGAAGAAACCTCCTCCTTAAACGTTGTTATGCATTAGTACTGTATTTTCTATGTAAATCGATTGTTTTGTTACCAACCTAAGGTAATTCGCAATTTATTTAGTTCCATACAGCCGTTTATTCGTTGGAACGGTTAATAAAAAAAAAGTATTTCTTTATATTTATCTGTATGTTTTCTTTTAATTGTTTTTTTTTTCAATTAAAATCAATGGCAATAAAATGTAAACAATGGTATAAGTAATTACTTGTTCCCCATCTGACAGATTATTATTATAGAAGAAGAATGAATAAATTTATTTATTCATGCTTCCTTCTTTTTTTTCTTTACAGTAAAATTATTCAGTAATAAAAAGCAATATGTATAAAACATATTTGCTCAAATTTTAACAAAGGCTTCTGAACAAAGGCTTTTTGGTATATCGATACCGCAAATGTACGTACGTTTAAAAGCCTTGTAATATTAATAATTGCAACGCACCAGAACTGATTCTATTTTTTGTTAAATATTATGTACTATAAAAGAAAAAAATTTGGGGAGCTCTTTAAGAAATCATAAATCCATACTAATATTATAAATGTGAAAGTGTGTTTGTTTATTTGTCTTTCTTTCACATCGAAACGGATTGGCGTGATTTTTTGTATGGATGTAGTTGGAGGACTGGAGAGTGACATAGGCTACTTTTTACCGCGGGAGATTATCTAATTCCCACGGAAAAACACGTTATAATACAATACATTTTTTTTATTATCAGAATTACTTGAAACTTGCTCTTCAATAAAATTAAATAAATACGTGTTTTAACATCATCTATATCGCATTTCTTAATTACTAGCGTCTTATCCTCCCTCTAAGAGATTCAGAATCTAAGAGATTTCTTGTGAGATAAAATAAGAGTCCCTACGTACGTTTTAAATAGATAAAAACAATAGTTATCGTGAGTGAACTTAGGTAGTTCATTCTCCATATAAAATTTCAATCCCTGCACTTCACCCCCTTCAAGTTTTATTTTGCGATGAAAAGTATCCTATGGCCTTTTCCAAGTCAATCCCTCTCTTTACCAAGATTCATCAAAATTAGCTGAGTGGTTTAGGCGTGAAAACGTAACAGACAGACAGAATAATAGAGTTACTTTTATTTATATACGGATTATTAATCTATACATATTATAATAAAATTGTAACTAAGCCGAATCTGTACATTAAATATATTTTTGAAAATCTTATTGAAATAAACATTATTATCGATACAGAGGCCGAATCTATAGTTTTTAGAGTTTTTGTCTGTCTGTCTTTCAGTCTGTCTGTCTGTCTGTTACCGCATCACAGAAAAACCATTAAAGGGATTTTGATGAAATTTGTTATGGTGATAACTGGTTATCCGTGTTAACATATTGTAGGATATTTTTTACCGCGGGAAAATGTTTCATTTCTGAAGAAAAAATACATAAGCTGCAATGTAAGAGTATACTAATATGTAAAACCTAAGAATTTGGTTGGTCATCTGAACGCGGGCGGAGCCGCGGGCAATGCTAGTTAGTTAATAAAATGGTAAGCCATTGAGGTCATAAGAGAGAGATTTCAGATTCCATTTCAAGCAGCAAGTCATATCAAAGGGAATAGTGTCTTTGTAGAATCCATAGTAATAGTTCAATTTCAGTACAAAGCAATACCTTATTGAATGCTAAGCTTCGTTAAGCATCAGCTCCTATAGGCCCAGATATTTCTGAATATTAGTTTTACTTTACAAATGATTCACAGTTTGATTTAAATGTATCGGTAGAATTTCTCTTTCTTCCCATTTCAGTAAAATCTTAAAGGTGTACATTTTCTATTGTGTGTTATTTGAAAATGGGTAAATAAGCTTTTATTAAATACTAGCGACTTTAAATTTTTTTCGTGAATTTTGCCGATGTTTTAATAGTTATTTAGTTATTCTGCTTTGTTTTATACACACACACACACATTATATATATATATATATATATATATATATATATATATATATATATATATATATATATATATATATAATGGGTGTGTGTATATATATATATATTTATAGTGTATATATATATATATATATATATATATATTTAGTTTAGCAATTAAGGATTATTACACGTGAGATCAGGTAATACAACAAACACAAATAAAAGAAGGTAATTTTTGAATTTTATTAATTTATTGATCGGATCGGAAAGACTAGTTTTAAGAAAGACTACTTAGTTTGGCTGCATTTTTGTGAATTGATTTCGGAATTCTTCATTTAATGAATATCTATATAATATCTATAAAAAGGCAAAAACAAAATAGTTCTTTTTTTTGTTAAGAATCTATTGACGAGCCTTAGTAGGTATTATCATTTATTTTTTCGAAACAGTTTTTTTTTAAATAATGATTATAGTCAACCACCGATATACAGACAGGTATAGATGTCTCGTCCCATATACCATTCAAAAAACCCACATAATAGGAGAATAGTTACTTTGTAATGGTTTTTGAAGTCCGAAAGCTTTGTTACTTTTATTTAGTAAAAAGTTATTAATATTTAAAATAATTTCTTCTATATTTATTATGTTCTATTATATGCAGAGGAATAGATTATAACAAGCCCTCTTGTAGTTAATTATTTCAATTACCGATATTCTAGAATGATTAACAATAAACTAAAGAGCGCTGAAGCTTGAAGCTTTACCTAGTTCTCATTTTAAAATTAATTTAAATGAATTGAAATCGAAATTCAATTAACATTATATTTATATCATATTATAGTAATATATAGATATTGTTGTATTATTGAAAAAATGTTATTGAATAATTTACTTTCATATCTAGAGTAGGTATGGTTAGTACTAAATATTGTACTCTATATTGAGCAGTACTAAATATTGTTAGTACTAAATATTGTACACTGTATTGAGCAGTTTGTGGTAAGGGTAACACTTATGAGTTCGCGTCACCGCCACGTCGACACGTCACATGTGACATGTGACGTGACGACGCGGTCTGGCGCTGACTTTTATTAATAAATAAATTACACAAAATGTAAATAATTGTAATTCGGAGTGTCAATTAATTTTGAAAACCAGACTAATAATAATTTCAATTTACAAATTATGAATATTTAATTATTCATACTATAATTAATTTATTAATTTAAAAAAAACACAGTTATTCCAAAGTTATAAGTTTTCACTTCTGTTGGTAGTCCCCATGACTGCCATTTTTTTTATTATTTTTTATTTAACTAGTAAAAGACTTAAATAATAATTTTGAACTTGCAACAATTTAAAACAAACATAAAATTAGCATTATTAATTCGAAAATCATATACAACTAAACTCGCACATAGATAGCTAAAGTAAACGTTTAAATGCATTCTCAACAATAGTTCAATTACGCTTCAATAGAAGGGTCTATCGAATAGTAAGCTCCGTTAAGCACGCGTTCGGATCACTCAGTTATCTACGTCCACTATCATAGGTCTGGCACATAGATGATTGAAGCTATAGGTACTATATATATATATATATATATATATATATATATATATATATATATATATTAACAATGCAGATTTTACGAGTATAAGCTGTATAACTGCTATTCAAATATTTGACGACATAACTTGTTATTATTTAAAATTTAAGCAATAAACATTTTAAACAATTTTTAATTCAAAACTAAATTTAGGATATTAGTAAAATTTGTGTAACAATAACCCAAAACTTACTTGAAATCCTATTATTGCTCCAACGAATACGGAATGAAAAAATCAATCTAAAAAAACTGTTCAGCTTTTCATTAAAGAACGATCCCTTTTGATTAAAACTCTTAAGATAGCTTTGCAAAAAGCTGAATTTTTTTTAGTAATCACAACTTTGTCTTAGTATTTTTTAAGAAAGCTCATTAAGTTTGAATATTGACATTTTAATTTAGAACTAACTAGGCACTGATAGTCCACTGAATACGGTCTTGTTCACTTGGATAGCCAAGTCAAGTGGATTCGAACCTGTGTTTTGTACTTATGTCATTTTCATGTTCTTCAGCTCTTTATAATATGGTGAAGACAAACATCGAAAATTTACAACGAGTTCTAGCGTTTTGAGAAACTGAAACTGATAAGATTGTAAATATACTAATTATAGCTAGGTAGAACTTTTTATAATTGCCTAGGTTACAAGTTCAATACAAAGTAATCATTTCTTTTTCATCATTTTTAAATTTTAATTTGACATTGGGGTTCATTTTTTAATACGTCCATCTCTTTATCTATAAAAATTAAGAAAAAAAAATATTCGACATTTCAGCACTAAAATTTAGTAAAGCATATAATAAGGCGACATAGAACTGTACGTGTAACTATAAAGTTACCCCATTGAGTTGAATTGAAACTTAGATACATTAGTAAGTTAGACAATGAGTAAACAACTGGAGCAAACAGACCAACAGATAAATTTGTGAAACGATAAATTTCCATTTTTACCCGACTGCTGCAAAGCCCAAAGAAGGGTTATGTTTTTGACATGTATAAAATATACCTGTATATATATATATATATATATATATGTATGTACGTATGTATGTCTGACCCTATGTTATTTTTAATTACTAAATGGCGCAACCGATTTTGATGATTCATACGTTGTTAGATTCGTCTTGATAACGCAAGTGTCATAGGATATATAGAGATCATTAAAAATGAAAATGGCGGATCTTAGGCGCCAATTCGTGTCTTGAAAATTTTTTTCTGTCCAAATTGATCGATTGGAAATCAAAATACAGGTTTTAAGAAACGATTACAAAAACATACATAACTTATATGTATAAAAAATAATGATAAAAAAATAATGTAACTAAATATGTCTATTTGACCAAAAGTCTTCTCCCTGCCCATTTCCCAATCACTTGGGGTCGGCGCAGTACATCTTCTGTACTGCTGCTAGGGTTGGCAAAAGTAAAAGCTAAAAATTAAA